AAAAAAAAAAATCTATTCGGAAGAAGTCCAAATGCAATGGAATATTAACTGCCACCATCTAAGATACCCAAATGTAAAATCCTGGAACATTTGAACCCCTCTCAGCATGAGCCAGGGGGTGGCAGGGCTGGTCAGGAGAGACAGGTGGCTTCCCCCTTCTCCTAGCCCCCATCCCAGCTGGTAGACGGCAGCCCGAGAGCCAGGACATAGCAGTGATTTCAACAGTCTCTGTAAAACCATTCACTTTTAGAAAATAAGAACATTATGGAAAAAAATAATAATCATCTAAACTTTTCTTTTTTTTCCCCTCCTTTATCAAAAGCCCTGCTTTAGTGACATGCTAGCCCTGTGGGAAAGGCAAAACACCCACAGCTCTGCCCAGAACACAGTTAAGCTGACCAGTCAACTCCTAGTTCAGGACACCTTCCTCCTGTTGATCTCCATGCTCATGAGCATTGTGGCTGCTCGAGTTACAGTGATGAACACATCTGCAGGCTTCCCCGGGTCTGGGAACCGCCTCCTGCAAACCCCACGCTGAAACAAATCTCATCCAAGCCTCCACCCTCTGTCCTACCTGGAGGCCCTCCGACAGCATCCCCAGGAGCTCTGCCTGCCCTGGTCAGGCGAGTCACTGGAACATCACCTCTTTTTTTTTTTTTTTAAAAAAAAGACCTTTCGTATATAATTTTTTTGTTGTTTTTATATTTAAATAGAAAAATACTACTTCACTCTGTGTTATGAACCAGAGACCAGTTGACTTCAGTGACAGAACCAGGAGTTCTCCTCCACGCTCCTATGCCAAGCTCAATGCCAGCAGATTCCCCGATTCTGAGTGGCCAGAGGGTGAAGATCTCCCCATCCCACCATACAGCAGGAACACACAGGGCTCCATCATAGCTCCCCGTCTTCCCTTCTCACCAGCCTCGGAGAACCACCAGTCCGCAGAGAGCCAGCGCTGGGGCTAACACCCCAAATTTGACTCTTGAGGGAGTCAACTATAGTTTTAAGCTTTCTACTCGCTTTTTGTGTGTGCAGTCTGTCACTGGAAGCCACTGGATCCAGATGTACACATGAATTAGACCAAAAAAAAACCAAAAACAAAACAGTGGTTAAAAAGTTCTCTAACACCCTCTCCTCCTCCTCTTGTCTTCTGAAGAGTCAATGACAGAGAGACATTGATAAAACTAAATTTGCCCTCCTCCCCACCTCAAGACAACAAGAGTTATTGAGACACAAAACATGTTATCTTGTACCTTCAGGATTACATCTAGAAGGGAAGTTTAGGGGTGCGGGAAGTGTGGGGGGAAGGCGGTGTTTGTGGGCGCAGTCCGCTTAGTTCTTGTATTCAAAAGGCTCGTCTCCAGTTTCGTTGAGGAGACACGTGCGGACGAGGGCCTCCGTCACAGCGTAAGGATCACAGTTGGCGGAGGGCCGGCGGTCCTCGAAGTAGCCCTTCTTCTCGTGGCCCACGTTCCTGGGGATGCGGATGCTGGCGCCACGGTTGGCCACACCAGCCGAGAACTCGTGGATGTTGGATGTCTCGTGGAAACCCGTCAGGCGCCTGGCATTGTCCAGCCCCCCTTTGGGGTCGTAGGCACGGATGTGGAACTGGTGACGCTTGCCCAGCTTCTCGATGGCTTCTTCAATGTGCCTGCGAGGGGAGCAAGGAGGAGGGGAAGACACGGTGAGTGTCTGACGGACGGTACGTGCTGAGCCTCGACTGCTGTGTCCAAGCGATGGCAGATTCACTGCTGTCGCCGAGTGACTTCATGACGAAGCAGATACCCTACAACCCACTTTTCCAATCATTTCAACATAGGTCTTCCCTCCTACTTCTGACCCAGGCTAGTTCTTGGAAAAGGATCCCTATGGCCTGAGAAGGTCCCTTGGGAGTGCTGTGTGTGGGACACCACCAGTTTGACCCAAGGCCAAATCCCTCAGACACATTTCCCTTGGGAACATGCTCGCAGAGGGGAGATTCCTTAACACGGAAGTTTATTTGGGAAGCTCACAGAGTCACGACTTGGCTCATTATCACAGCTCTCAGGAGGTATCCCTTCAGTGCAACCCAGCGCTGCAAGGTCCCTGCCTGCACATCAGTCCCATATGGGAACTGGGGTTGGGTTTACATTTCCAGGATCTTCATGATTAAGGAAACATGGCATTTGCTTCCACAGCCTGGCCTAGAAAGAAGCTAATGGCATTTCTCTTTCATTGTGATTATTAAAAAATAATATTTAAAAGAGCCTATGCTGAGTTTATTTCCTTGTTTCCACCATTAGCAGATCAAGAACTGGGCAGCCCGTTACAAAAAGCTGCATCCTGGCCACCCATCCTTCTGTCCGGACTGATGGAGCTGTACTCCTGGCTGAACTTCCCACCCAGCACCAAGACGGGAAGTGTATCATTATACAAAATACAAAAATTAAAATATATATATATATCTCCAGAAGAAAGGCTCAAACACAACACCAAGAACCAGGGTAACATCTCCCGTGTCGTCCAAAGCTCCACAAAAAACTTGCTGCTACCAGCCAAGCCCAGCCTGCTGCCCAGCAAAGCGATGCTACTGGCACATCTCAAAAAAAAAAAAAATCACTTACTTGAGACCTCCGTCTTCCCTCATGTTCTTGGTGCTGAAGTTGGTGTGACAGCCAGCACCGTTCCAGTTCCCAGGAATGGGCTTGGGATCGAAGGACACAATGACACCAAAGTCTTCGCACACCCGATGGAGGATGAAGCGTGCAATCCAGAGATGATCGCCCATCTCAATCCCTTCACATGGTCCCACCTGGAACTCCCACTACAAGAAGGAGGAGTCACTGGGCTCAGTGGGGCAGAGACACTTGTCACGAGACCCTTCCTACCCCCTTATGCTCAGATGGTTGATACAACTACCCAACTCGGAGCAGGCAGCAAAAGCTCCCGCTGCCTGGGATTTTTCTGTACTGTCTCATTCCACAAGGCACCTAAACCTCTTTTACCTGGGCTGGCATCACTTCTGCATTGGTTCCTCCAATTTTCACGCCAGCATAAAGGCACGCTCGGTAGTGGGCCTCCACAATGTCTCTGCCGTAGGCTTTGTCTGCCCCTACGCCGCAGTAGTACGGACCTGCAACGGCACAGGTGAACAGCAAGGGAAAACATCAGTTTCTAGAAGGAAAAAGGCTCAAATTCTGTGAAAACAGAGCACACGGACAAGAGAACTCTCCAAAGGCTTGGGACATGTGAAAAAAACCCAACATCTGTTTTTCATGGAAGCACTAGTAGAGCAGGGCACTGATGGAGAGCAAATCCCCGAATTTAAGTCATCTGCAGACTAACCAACCAAGCAGCAAATTTAGATGCAGCCAATCTTCACCTTCAACTTTCTACAACGACCTTAAGTTCATGGGGGTTTTTTTGCCAGTATCCTGCCTGCTACTGTCCACCTTCTGTTCTAAAAAACACCTGCCTGACGCTGCGTGACACGGATTACGGTTCAAACGCGGCATTAAAGGACTCCTGCCCTGTCCTAGCGCAGACTCCGAGACATTACCTTGGGGTCCAGGGAAGCCGTTGGAAGGCCAGCCAAATGGATGTCCATCTGTCCCCAGAAGAGTGTACTCTTGCTCCATCCCAAACCAGGGGTGCTGGTTGGACACCATATCCATTATCCGCCTGCAGGTGTGTCGGAGATTTGTCTCTAGACCAGAAAAACAACACAGGGCTTATTAACACCTCCAGCCCCAATATCCACTTTATTTACAGGTTGAGTCCCAGCAGCGTTGGTGAAGAATCCCAGGACCAGCCCTTTCTCCACCACCAGCACTTTGTTTGCCTTTTACTTTCAGGGCAGGGATTATTTCTGGTGTCATACATGATGCCAAGGGCATGAACAGCATTTGGATAGGTCTCCCCTTCCCCTCCCCAGAAAACACCACCTCCACCAGAAGGGAGAAGGGTCCATTCACCTGCAGACTGGCGGTTGTATTTGAAGACCTCGCAGAGAACTAGTTTATTGGGATCCTTGCGAAAAGGGTCCCGAAACATGGCAGCAGGTCGCAGGTACATGTCACTGTTGGAGCCTTCAGCCTGGAAGGTGCTGGAGCCATCAAAATTCCACTCGGGGAGATCTGGAGAGAGGAAAGAGCCACAGTGACTCAGGGTCCACAGTCACCAGGAGGATGGGCTCCCTGCCACCCTCCAGTATTACAGAGGTGAAAATCCTTATAGAGAACAGGCCTACAATAGGCTTTATCCCAGCTCAGCTGATTTTGTTCCAAATGGGGGAAGCCAAAAAAGAAAGAGACACAAACAAAAAAACCTACCAAAACTTGCAAAAAAAAACCCCAGGGAAGTGCAACTCCCCAGCCACCCTGGGAAACACAAGGAGCTAGGCTGCTGGCCAAGGCCAAGCAAACCAAGCAGCACTGAGGATGTTTCCCATGTCACAACCATGGGGATGAGCAAAGCACCCCAGTTTCCTTGCAGAGGTGACTGGGAAAGCTGGGAGAGGGCAGAACATGAGACATCTTCAAGCTGTAGGAACGAGGGGAGCCATGAAATAGCCTTATCCGTGTTTGCATGGCCTGGAGAGGGTGGGAGAGCAAATCACATATAGGTGGAGTCTCTTATGGAGGAGTATGGCCAGGTTGGCACCCTTGCCCACCCCTCCAGGCTGCTCACTGCCCTCCAGGTCAAAGCACAGCAGGAGGGGCAGCCAACTCCACCCTGGCAATGTTATCTCCTCCACATCCTGGGGGGAAAAAGCAGGAGGATGGGAAGTACAAAGATTTCAAGGGAGCTGTGCCAACCACTCCCTTAAGAGGGAAAAGGGGAGAGGGGAAAAAAAAAAAAAAAAGAGATAATTCTGCTCAGCCACACGCAGTATTTTCATTTCATAACTGTCTCCAGCCAGCACCATGGCAACCTGGGGAAAATCCTAATGCTATTATTGTGTAAGCTGGGACTGTTTGTTCTGAGGGACACAAGCTCTTAATTACACCGGATAGCTCCATTCTTTCCCCTCCACTTTCTTCTGCCAAACTACTTCCGGCCAAAACGAGTACTTGAGAGTCAATGGGCAGCCGAGACCCTGCCAACAGCCCCCAGCCTCTGCCAACAACCCCCTCCGCAACGGGGGCAGTGCCAAGGCCGGGCTCCCAACCCCAGGTGTCTCACTGAAACCCCACATCTGGAGAGGTGGGAGTATTCCCCCTAGAGTTATCCAAGGAAGAAGGTAAGTGGGAGGGAGTAAGGAGGGGTGTCATCCCCAGATGTCATCCTTCTGCCATGAAAGGGGCGAAATGGCATCCTTCAGCCAGAGCAACCGAGTGCGGCTGCTTCTACCCGGCGACGGGCTACAAATCCTGCGCCTGCCCCCCTCACCTTCAAGGCTCTTGGGCTCGTGGTCCAGGGTGCGGGTTTTGCAGCGGAGGTGCTCCCCCGTCCCGTCGATCCAGATGTACATGGCTTGGACCTTCTCCCCCTGCGGCAGCTTCATGTACATGTGCTTGATGGCTTTGCTCAGGTGGGAGCTCGCCGAGGTGGCCATGGCTGCAGACCGGACGAGGGGGTTCCTGCGGGGACAATACAAAAAAAAACCAGCCCCAACCATGAGCCATTCCGTGCACTACCAGGTTTTTCACTCCCACAGCCAAGGAAGAGCTTGGCCGTGGGGCTGGCTCCTGCCTCCAGCATTCCCATGCCATTCTGCAGGCGGAAAACACAGCAGCTCAGGCAGCTAGAAGCCTGCTCCGCAAGCGATGCCCCCACCCCCATCAATCCCAAACTCCTGCCAACAAACAAAGTCTTATCCACCCAGCAACAGCCTTCAGAAGTGCTCCTCGGCCCTGGGTGAACTCCTCACCTCCACACTCACTCTGGGGCAAGAGATAATGCGCAGGGGAAGCTTAGCTGGGGCTTTCTTACCATGCTCGTTTGAGGGAGTAGGGCTTGCCTCCCCCCACGGCTGCCCCCCCGGATCAGCTGAAGCTGTACGAGGCTTCTCTGGGGCAGGAGGCAGCGCAAAGCCACAGGCAGCGATGGGGATGCTGCCCAAGGGGGTCTCGTCC